TGCAGCCACACACATCCCTGCAGGGTGTGGCCACCAGCAGGCCTGGCAGCACGGCCTCTGACAGGGGGATTGACACCTCTGAGAAGTAACTCTGCACAGAGGCTGCACCATGGGCAACCCCAGGGATGTACTCTTAAAGAAGGGGAATAATGACATTACTTCTTAGTGATGATGGCTGTTACACCAGGGGACTGGCTGCCTGATAACTTCTCCTGCTTCAGTCTGAAGAGATCCTGAGAAAACCAAAAATAAACAGTTGGATGTAATGATGTTTTCTGAAGTTCACTAAAGTCACTAAATCCAAGAGCAGTCAGACAAAGTCTGTCCTTCCAAAAGGCTGCCAGAGGAACAGCATTCAGTTAAACAACTCCTGACCCAGGAGAGGACAAGTGACTCCCTGGCCAGCTCCCACTGACACAGAAAATGGAGGCTCAAATACAGAAATTCTAAGAAGAGAGGGATGTTGGCTAAGAAGTTGAATGACTTTACCTCTTGCTGTTGTTTAATAAAAGCCTCTTTTGCCTCCAACATGGACGTCAGTTCTTGCAACCTTATTTGCAAGTCACTGTTACTTCCTTCTCTCCTGGAAATATCTTGCTGGAATTGGCACAACTGATTCTGTAAAACACACATCAGGAACAGTCACGCATTGGGTCATCCTTGCAGGGGACCTTCAGTGCCTGTTTGGGGCTCCAGGTGCATTTTCCCACATAGTTCTGACTGGGATTTATTTTGGTTTTCTGCTGGGTGGCTTCTGGCCACCTTCTCACTCCATCAGGACATACAAAATACCCTGCAGGAAAGGCTGCTACTCCGATTCATCCCCAGCTTCTACATCTACAGAATTGTATGGCTTTTTTTTAAAAGTCAGAGTTTTCTGTTGCACCATAAGGGTTTCTGAGCCATCATTGGTGCCTGTGTCTGAAGTAACTGTGGAAGCAAAACATATCTAAGAACCACCTCTGGTGGGTGGCTGCTGTTCCCTCTCTACAGAAGCAGCTCTTGCCTCGTCGCACAGGGCGAGGAACGGACGTGCCAAGGTCAGCAACTCACCCTGAGGCTGCGGATCTCACGGTCTTTATCCTCCCTCAGGTTATTGATCATCTCCACGTAGCGGCTGGAGAGCTCGTCCGTGGTGGTCTGCAGCACTGGACTGGAGCAGCTCTGTGAAGAACATTGGTTTCAGGAAGTTTTCAGCACTAACTCCCAGGTGTCGGCGCGTCCGTGTCTGTACCGGCCGCCGAGCAGGGAGCCAGCGAGCCCGTTACCTGCAGCTTCAGGCTCTGGATCTCCTGCTCCAGGGCTCGCTTGCTGTACTCCAGCTCCTTCAGCTGGCAGTCCTTGTCCCCCTCGCTGAGCCGCAGGGAGAGGAGCTGCTCCTCCAGCGAGCGACACCTGGCTGTGCTGTCCCTCAGCCCTTGCTGCAAAGCACACGGTGCAGTGAGCTCCGACTCGCCACCAGCACGCTTGGAAAAGAGGTCTGGGGGCCTACCTGCTGCTGGCGGTTGTTCTCCCTCAGAGAAGCCAGCATAGCTTCATATTCCTTCACTTGGGAATCTTTAAAAGCCAAATCCTTCTTGAGCAAGATGTTGTCGGTTTCTAACTTCTGCAAGACAAAGCGTTCACTGTCAACAGCTGCAGTTTTTCAGTGAACTTCTCTCACAGTCAAAGTGCAACAGACTGGGCAGTCAGCAAGTGATGTTTTAGAACTGAGGAAATACTCATTTTCTCTAAACTCTGGGTTTTTAACTGCACAGCACAGGGCTGCCTGTCACTGGAGCATCCGTGGCTACGGGGTGGGCACTGGGCCCCCAGGCAGCACCCTCTGCAGGGTCAGAGCTTTGCAGCTCCCTTCTGCCAGAGGGGGTTCAGACTGCAACAAACAGAGCACCTGAGCACCCCGGCCAGGAGGAGAGCTGCCCCATCCGCCGTGTGAGCCCCACAGGCCCCTTAACAGAGCAGCAGAACTCTGGAGTGGGCAGTTGGGATTTCACCCTAACCCACACCCTGCTGACGGGCAAAACCTCCCGGCTGAGGCCCCGGATGGCACAACCTACCCCCAGGTCATCCTGCAGGTGGCAAAGCTCTTCACGTAGATTTTTGAAAGTGGAAAGCACAAGCCTCAAAGATTTATCTGATGTCACTCTCATCTAGGAGGGGAAAAAAAGCCATTGTGATTAATGAGTGCCCTTTGTTTGGAGTCTGCTTGGCATTATGTAGAACAGAAGACACTGTACAGCCAAAAATAACCTTTCCTCTTAGAAGTACTGCCCGTCACTCTTTGAAGTGTCCACGTTTCTACAGAGACATTTTCATGCCCTTTCCTCTGCAAATGGCATTGTTTTTAAATTCCTGCCTTGTAACACAGAACATTTTGAAAAGGGGAGGAACAAGAGTAAAGAACTGCAGTTGTGCACCAATAAAGGGGAAAATAAAGGTGCTACTATTGCCCAGTCGTTTCTGGAGTGTTCAGAGCTTTGTGACTTTGGTTTAAAAAAAATCCCTGTGCTGCCAGAGAAGCCAGAGGGCAGCGAGTCACCATCTGTATGATCTGGCACAGCCCACTTCTGCCCCAGGGCGAGAGAATTTAATCACAGCTTTTAAAAAGTTAAAAAAAAAAAACAAAAACAAAAACCCATACAATGAACTCCTCCCTTTAAAAGGAAAAAGATCCCAAAGATTAAAGGAGCTGACAGAAAAAGGCTGCAGTGTACAACAGCCCCACACTGCTCTGGGCCTTCCTTTTACTGCACAGTAACAGCTGGAGGGTTTGCATTGCAGGATGGATTTCTAATACTCGAAAGACAAAAAATGAGATTTTGAAAGAACACACCAAGTAATTCCTCACGTTTTGACTCCTGGAAGGGCTGAAGGGTGTGTTTGTTTGTACTGTCTGCCCAGGCACGAAACCCTCCTGACCACCCCTCTCTGGCAGGTCCCCCCCACCTCATCTGCCAGGCACTTTTAGACTCTAAAAGTCCAAGTAAATCCCTCTCGGCCAGTACTTAGCACTAGGGGTGCTGATTTCCAGGTGTCGTGCCCTGCCACAGTGGCTCACTCTGTGCCCCCACGGCAGCCTCTGAGCCCAGGTCCGCGCGGTCTGGCCGCGGCTCGGGGGCTGCTGGCTGGGAGGAGAAACCAGGGGCCACCATCCGTGGGGTGTGCAGCCTGGAGCTGTGCCCACAGGACCTGCTTCCCCAGAGACATTGCAGCTGCTTCTCATATGCACAGGTGTGAGACTAAAACAGCTGGACGCAGAGAACAGGACATGTGTGCTCCAGCTCCCCCACACGCAGCAGCTGGGCCAGCTTCCTGGGACCTGTTCTGACAGGAGGTCAGGGAGCACCCCGGGGTCTGTGTCCACCCTCACTGCCAAGAGCCCCCAGAATCACTCAGGCTGGCACAGGAGGTCACCTTGTCCAACCCGGAACTCGGAGCACTCAGCTGCTGATCCACAGCGTGATGCAAATGGACTTTGTACCAGGAAGTGACTCCGAGCTGCAGGTTCCAGGTGGGGTCACCTCACCCCTGCCTCGGGGAGCCCAGGCACACCAGTGTCCACCCAAGCAGTGCTGGCTGGGGTCCTGTCCTGACACCCACACCAAACCCCAGTGGTTGTGCTGCTGCAGTCAGCCTCAGAACGTGGTGCTGTGTTAGAGGTTTTGAACCAGAACCCTGGTACAAGGTGAGACCTACAAGCGTTCTGTGGAGCTGGCCGCTGAGATCCAACATTCAGTAAAGCATCTCCTATTTGCCCTTAGCTTTTAAACTAAAGCAGTAGTCTACAACACAAATGAAAACCTGACAGATCTGTGTTCTCCTCTAACTGGCCAAAAGCCAGGTTGTTTCCAGTGGAACTGCAGGAAAACACCAGTAAAGCTCAGTTTAAAATACAGGAGTAGTCTGGAACCAGCTGCCAGCACACGGCCCGTGGAGCCACCCCTGGGATTGTTCCATACCCTCTTCACCAGTGAAACTGGAGCAAGCAGAACACAGAGGAGGAGGCTTTGTAGGAAGTCCCTGGCATGCACAAGGCCACTGCCACTGGTGCACCCTGCTAAAGGCTCCCACCCTCCCCCACCCCACTCACAGACCTGGAGGAGATAACGAATCTGCTGCTTTGTTGCCTCAGACAGTCCTTTAGGAATTAAATCTTCGATATCTTCAGTCTAAGCAAAGAAGGGAGGAAAGGGGAGACACCTTGATTAAGAACTTTGCCTGGTAGGTCATAATGTGGTTTCTTCATTAATTACACAGGTCTACTAGAAAAACATGTTTAGTACAAGGCAAATAAGAATGAAAACAGATCAAAGTGTATCCAGAAAACTTCCAAAGTCTTATAAATGTGTGGCATATACAAACTGAGATGAAGTGATACATGAAGCATGCATTCAAATGCTGGAGTTCCAGATACTGGAGTAAAGCAAAGCACTGAGGCTTCCTTTCAGCATCACCATTTACAAACGCACACCCAGCAGCTGAGCTGGGCTTCAGGCTCTGGCTGTTGGCAAGCAGGAATCACTAACTGAACAGAGACCAGCTCCCTGGCAGTGGCTTGGCTGAACCTGCTGGGAGACCCCCCCTGCTGCCCCCAGCCCTGCCAGGGGCAGCCTGCCAGGAGCTCCCCTGGTGCTCACCTGAGACGTGAACTCCACGTCGTAGCTCCTGAAAAACAAAACCCAAGGGACCCGTTAAGAACAAGCAGCTTGAGAACTTTCAGAACTCCCTCCTGAAAAACAAAACCCAAGGGACCCATTAAGAACAAGCAGCTTGAGAACTCTTGCCCACGTTCACAACTACAGAAGGATGGTCTTTATAAAGGGAGCAAGGAAGGCTGTGCGTCAGATGGAGAGCTGCTGCCCCCTCCCCCCCCAGGGTGCTCGGCAGTGTGAGTTGTTAGATGTGATGCAGTACCTGAGGAGACTGGAATGCCAACAGCAGCACAGCTAACAGGGGCCAGCTCTCCCCGCTCCTCTGGGCAGTTAGCCCAGTTACGTTCAGTTAACCCAATTACATTCGTAATTGCCTGGGTAATGGTTCACCCAGAACCATGTTGCAATACATTGACACACCTGAAGTGTTTACTTTGCAGCACCAGTTTTTTTGTGATGCTTCAATTCTGCTTTTCCCCCTGCTGTGGGACCACTTTTCTTGTTTCACTGAACTTGGAAAGCACCAAAAGAGACTGGGTGTGAGGGGGCAGGAACCAAGCAACGGTGATGGTGAGAGCAGGGCAGGAACGTTTTGTTTAAAGTCTTTTGTCTAAAGACTCCAGATGTATTGAGCATTTCTTTCCAGAGCCTGCCAGGCCCTGCAGAATGCATGCTTAACATTAATCTGCATGTAGATGCTGGACTTCCTGCCTCATGGTGGTCACCTTTTAGTGCATGGTGTAACCTAGCACCACGAGGGAACACAGGAGATGGCAATTTGGACCTCTGGGCTGTTTCTTCAGGAAGTAGTAGTAAAATTGCATCCTGAGATACCTGTCAGAGCATGCTGTAAGTGTACTTGCTTGCTCTGTGTGCCAACAGGCAGGGGATATGTCACTCTCACTGCATATTAGTCTAAACAATGTGAAAAAGCCTCGAACTCAATGTATTTACTTAGCTTACAGCACTTTTGTCTTTGGTTACCCAGCAAATCAGACGAATGTGTGCAATGGCAACCAGAATGGAGTAAAAGCAGCCTGCAAAGAGCCCTGTCCCCCGAGGGGCAGGACTCTGAAGAGGCAGGGCCAGAGCAGAGCCCTCAGTACCTGCCCCCGATCTTCTCCACGTGCTGCAGCAGGCAGCTGTGCAGGTCGCTGGTCTTGCGGCTCAGCTCGGCCAGCAGCTCCCCGAAGTAGCGGCAGTCGAGCGGCTCCTGCTCCCGGGGGCAGCTCACCTGGGGAGACACCAGAGGGTCGGGCCAGAGCCCTTCGGGCCGAGGGCTGGCCGTGCAAGTGCTGCAAGGGGGGTGCTTCTGGCTTGCTCTTACTAGTCTGCAATTAGTTTACAGTTATTTTGCTTAGTGTCAAGTCCTCCACACTGGTGTTCAGTAAACCACGCAGAAATAAATGACTTCCTTTACAACAACAAGAAATAGGCCAAGTAATATTGTTGTGCTAATATGGGAAGTGTTGAGGATTAGGAAGCCTCACCAATGTCGGGAGGAAACGCCCGTGGGCAGCACCCAGCTGCAAGCAGCCCAGTGCCAGAGTCCCCCCTGCAAACCCCGAGTCTCTGTGGCCCCATCCAGCCACAGACGATCCCCACAGCACCCCGAACCCCGCGTGCCCGGGCTGCCCCCAGGGAGCACCTGGCTGTGGAGGACTCCACAGGGCTAGCACGGAGGTCACCAGCTCTGTCTTGCCACCTGTATGCTGGGCACAGGCAGGACTGCCACGCTCCTGCCCACACCGAAACAACCCCAGAACAACAAACCTCCTGCAGCCCCTCACAACACAACTGCCTGCTGCAAAAGGGTGGCCTGGGGATGTGAGGGCCACTCCTTGTGCTTCCCGTGGATCTGTGTCCAGTACTCCTACACCAAACTGAGGCATATGAGCTGTCCTTGCACAGCAGCTGGGGCAGAGAGCCACGCTGATCTGAGGCACGTGCAGTTTGTGATGGAAGGGGTCCTCTCTCCAAACCCAGAGGCACAGCCCTGTCACTCCTCCTCTGCTGTACCAGGCTGACGGGTGAAACGCCCCCAGATACACAAAACCCAAACCAGCCTCCACTGAAAGGACAACAGAGCATCCACCACCCAGGACACCTCAGCACAGGTCTCTGCCAACAGGAAGCAGGATACAACACCAAAACCAGCCTCCTTTTGAGATCTTAACAGCATCTGACAAAGCCTTGTACAGCTCTAGACAATGTCTGTGATGCTCTGCACAGACAGGAGTTGCCTGGGACAGACACACAGGCTCTGCTGGGTACTTAAACGGGCGAATGGTGTGATTACCCTGCCAGGCGTTTGAACGAACACTTGTGAGGCTGGGGACTAGCAATTTTGTATCTGCACTCCCAGAGGACTCTCACCGGCTCGCAGGTCTGCACCGTCACCCT